CTGCAACACTAGAGGAACCTAAGTATCACTCTCATTACGGGTCCACACGTAAATGGTGAATACTGTTGTCAGGATAAGCAACCCCACCTGGGTCCTGAGTCCGGACTGGCAGTTCATCTTCACAAGCAAAGGACTTACCAGCATCTACACCAACCTCTTCCATTCTCAAGTCCTTAATCTTACTTTCAGCCACTCCTGAGCTCCCACCTTATAGAAAAAAAGTAGAAGAAAACCAGGGCCGCCCTCTCACCCCATCCATTCTGGTCACTTCCACTCCTTGCTATAGAAACAATGTAAAGCCAAGTACTGTAGCTCTGTGCATCTCATCTGCACCCAGCATCTTAACAATGCTATTCCTATTTCCCTTCATGTTCAGATTCTCCCTTAAACAGGCAGTTCTTGTTGGTTTATAAGCATGTTCTTCTTCTTCTTTTCATTTAAAACCACAATGAACTAATGTCTTTCTTGAAGCCTCTTTTTTCCTTTCTAAGCTATTATTTATATACAATTCTTCCAGATGCTTTTCTGTTTTCTCATCCACCCTCCAAACATATTTGTTTATACAGAATGATTTCTTCAGCTTTGTGGGTGTTGGCCTTTTCTGTAATATAACTTCTATACTATAACAGAAACCATAATTATAAACCTATCTTAAGGAACTGCTGTGAAAACTAGATGAGTATATAAAAAAGCAAAACCTTAGGACAGAGCCTACTAAGGTTAGCAATTTATCATTATTGCTAATATCACATATCCATCTGTTCAGGGAGCCAGCTACACAAGAGTGAGTGACACACAACAGAGTCACACTGAATCCCCTTATCTTTCCCTCATTCCAATCCATCTCTAGATTGTGTTGAATCTTACCTTTCAAGTTTCTCTTGTTCTGAATACTTTCCTCTATCTACAGTACCATAGTTTATGCTATCATCATGTCAAAAGCTCCGGAATGGTTTCTTGAATTCACTCTCATTTTCCCAAACTTTCTGCATATTATAACCAGGACAGCCTGTTCTAACCTTGTGCCTGAGATACTCATCTAGTTTAAAATACTTCCTCCTGTTGTAATAACGCCTGAGTCTATGGCACAGCCTATGTATGAAACAAGGCAAGTTTGGTTCCTACCTACCAATACAAACTCATCTGCAATCTCACCCCCTGTATGCCTTCAACTCCTTCCCATATTTTCAAATGTACTTACCACTTTCTAGTTTCTCTACTTTATACCCTGCGGGGCAATATTTTTGTGTATCTTAGCTTAATGTCTACTATTCCTTTATGCCTTAGGTTAACAGTAATTTCTTCAGGGAGATGGAGATGGGAGGTCATCCTTGGACATAACTGTGAGGTTCAGGTAGCCATGACTTCAAGAGATCCTGTTTCAGAAATAAAAATAAAGGAGCTAGGGAGATGGTTCAGTTGATAAAATACCTGCTATGTGGATTAGAGTTCAGATCCCGGCACCAAGGTAAAAAGCCAGGCATGGAAGGATACCTGTAACCCAGGACAGGGAAATGGAGACAGGGCATCCCAGGACCTTGCTGGCCAGACCAGTTTAACCAAATTGGCAAGCTCCAGGTTCAGTGACAGACCCTTCTCAAAACAGGAGGAAGATACCTGATGCTGAGCTCTGTCCTTTACCCATGCACAATAAACAAACAAAAGAGCACAAACTAAAAGCTGCATGAAGATAAGTATATCATCAGCTTAATGTCAACCCAACTTCTGACCAAAGCTTAACACTTCTGTACTAATGATTTGAACAGTAAATCACTTCAAAGAGACACTAACCAGACCAGCTACTGTGACAGAAAGAAATGGTGTAGAAGGTATATTTTTTTTGATTTTGGAAAGAAGGTGGCCCTGAATTCGATGTGCAGCTGAGAGTGCCCTTGATCCTCCCCCCTCCATCTTTAGATTATAGACAATGGCCACCATGCACAGCCTAGGTGTATTGTTATTATTGTTATTGCCATTGCTACTGATATTAATCTCTTGGATGATTCTAGCTGGGCCTCAATCAAGTGGCCCCACCACAGCAGGAATTCTCAGGCAGACAGGCAGTTTGAAACAGCACCACCTCAAAAAAGTCTAATTTCTTTCAATCACCAACTCTCTATATACATATTTTGCAAACTATAACTTATAGGAAAACTATGTGGATGGCATTTATATTTAATTTAAAAGGGAACCTATGATTTTTTTTTTCAGTAAAATTGTTTTCCTAACCAGTGGAATAATGTGAAGTGTATTAGTACCTAAAAACACAAGGGGTGGGTAAAAGTGGAAATTTGGAAGGATACAAAAGACCAATTTATGTGGGTTGTTTGTTTTATTTGTTTTGGGGATTTTTTTTTTTTTTTTTTTTTTTTTTTTTTTGGAGAGGTTTCACGTAGCCGAGGCTAGCCTTAAACTTCTGATCCTACTGCCTCCACCACCTAAGTACTGGGGTTACAGATATATATTACCCACATTGGAGTTATTCATGTCTTGAGAATATAAAAACAATTTACTATAAGATGGTTTAATATTACTCTCTAAAACTAGTAAACATCTGTTACAGGAACAGTAAGCAGCTTCAAATGTTACTTCAATATCCATAAAGAACAGTTAAAAGAACTAGTTCAATTAATTAAAACAGTAAGAAAGCATCAAAATCTCTTGTAAGATTTCAATACTGAGAATCTCAGTAGATTATCAACCGTTTATAGAGGATCCCCTGAAATTCTGTCTATGGTATACTATAGTTCTACTTGGAAAGGTGTTCTTTTCACAACAGTACACAACTATTCTATGCAAACTGCAGAAGTCATTTATGTGTAAAACTTAACACAGATGAATCATGTATAATTGCTAATACATATAAACAACAAAAGTCAAATCATCTCCCTCACCTTTTTTTCTAGGATCTCTGAATCAAGAGTTGCATACACCTAAAAAAAACACTCACACTGTAATATAATGGCCTGCCTCTGCCTCTCCCTCTCTTCTCCAAGACAGGGTTTCTCTATACAGCACAGGCTATCCTGGGACTTGCTCTGTAGATCAGGCTGGCCTTGAATTCACGGACCTGCCTGCCTCTGCCTCCTAGGTACTGGGATTAAAGGCATTCAATACCACACCCAGCCTGAGCATTTATTTTAAGAAATAATGATACTTCCTAAAACAGGACATAAGACTTAGAATATGTATGTACAACTGAAAAAAAGGGGAGAACATACGTAAGTTACTACACACATGATCTATTAGAGAAATATTCCTTTAAATTATTTAACAATTTTAAAAAAGTTGAGCCCCTCTATTCTTTTTTTTTTCTTCAAAATTAGATTTTATAGCTAACATCAGAAAATACTATTGTTTAGCTTCCTTAGGTCACCAAAAAAAAAAAAAAAAAAAAAAAAAAAAAAAAGTCAGGAATTGTTTTATTCTTTGAAAACCAGTTATCTCCAGTATATGGTTAAAGATGTAAATGGTACATAAGTGCTCATGTGATTAAAACCTATTCATCTTTGATCCTTAAAGCAAAAATACTACTTTAAAAATCATAAAATGCAACTTTACTAGTACCTGAAAACTCAGCTTCTAGAAATTACCATTCATTGAAAAAAAACGAAAAACAAGAGACATTTTCACTTATCTACACTTAATAGTTTTTCGTTTGTTTGTATTTTTCTTTTTCTTTCTTTCTTTTCTTTTCTTTTCTTTTCTTTTTTTTTAACTCAGGGTTTCTCTGTGGAACAGCCCTGGCTATCCTAGAACTCGATTTGTAGACCAGGCTGGACTCAACTCACAGAGATCCACCTGATCTTGCCTCCCAAATGCTGGAATTAAAGGCATGCACCACCATTGCCCAACTTATACTTAAACACTTTCATCCCAACCTTTTAAAAAAGAAACCATGAAATCCTAGATATGTAAGTAGATGCTATTAAATATTAGTGGCACCATGTTTTTCATGGTTAGCTAATGTGGAAGATGGATGACCACTATGCAAGAGCAGGAAACCAATCTGACATACACATTAATCTGGACACAATGAGCTTTATCACTGTTACAGTTAGCAGTAATGAGGAGCTCTTCAGAAAGCTAAGACACAAAGAACTTCACACATCACAGACTATCTCATTTTTTTAAAATCCTCCTTAAAATGAAAGAACCATTATCTACTTAAATTGTGTATTTCTAAAGTGCTTTCCACATAATGTTAATACACCATGATTTCTCAATCTTGTAATACTGTCCTCTTTTAATTTCCCACACAAAACAGGGGGTAAGGAGTTTTTGTTTTGGACTCTACCCAACCCTTTGATTGGAGATCAAAAGGCTGTCTTTACATACTCTATAATGTCCACCATTCTGGAACTACCGTGAAGTACAAACACTTACACCTCCCACGTCAGAAGTTACTTGAATATTGACAGGGAGCTCTGAAGACATATTTGCCTGCAATTTTAGGACGAAGTGTGAATGTAAACCGAGAAGGACTGTAGTAACATATATCCCATTACATTTTCCTTAAAGTTCATGCGTGTCTCTTTGCACAGCCACGGACGTTGATCTGGGCTATCCGATGAAAATAACCAGAGCTGCATCTGTCCGAAAACATATCAGTCTAGCTTATCACTGTCAAAGCAGACCTGCCAAGCTCACACGTCCAAAGGAGGGCTGAGGTAGTATTCCCCGACAGAGGATCGTGGTTTTGTCTGCAATGTTAACACTCACAGGGCAGGTAGTGAGATTAGCTCCCGGTCCCCTCCCTAGTGAGAATCAGGGAGGTGGGTGACAGAACCGGGAGACCCGTCCTCTTCCCCCCCCCCCGCCCCCGCTCCTCGCTCCTTTGCTGCACACGTATAAACAAACGCACTCCCGATCGCATCGGCCGCCGAGAGGTGCCCCAGGGGACAGTCTTACAGGGTCGTTTTCCTGAAGCGTACAACGGGCCCTAACGCCCTGGGACGGCCCGGGGTTGAATGCCATTACTGCCAGCCCCCGAGGCTCACCTCTAGCTTGTGGTTGATCTGGGACACAGTCTGGGCTTTGTGGCAAAGCTGCGCAAAGCAGGAGCTGAGGCTGGTCATCTTCTGCCGCCCCTCGTAAGTGATGTCCGCCTGGTCCGGGTCGATCTCCCCCAGAAGCAGATCCACATCCACGAAGGCCTTGTCGAACTCCTTCTCCAGCACCTCCAGCCACCGGAACATGGACACCCCGCCAGGGGAGACCCCCACAGGGCAGGAGGCGCCCCCTGGGCCGCCGCCTGCTCCCGCCGGGCATGGGCCGCCCGCCGACATGGCGCCGTCCAGGGCCCCGCCGACTGCTGCTCACCGTGGCCGCCCGCCCCGCGCGAGGGGAACTGCTGGCACCGCGGCGCCCCTCGCGAGCGCTCACCAGCTCCGCCGGTCCCCTCCCTCCGCTCGCGCCGCCAACGCCGGCAGCGCAGCTCCAGGGCAGAGGCGCGGCGACAGCGCGGCGGAGGCAGCGGCGGCGGCACGCGGAAGGCCCGCCCCCGCCGCGCATGCGTAGCGGCGCCCCGAGCGAGCGCAGCCCGGAGGGAGGAAGTGGGCGGGGCCTCGCGAGGCCTTGGCCAATGGGAAGCCTCCGCCTCCGCCTCCACGAGCCTGGCGGCGGCCATATTGACGACTGGCAAGAGCCCCGAGAAGCCGAGGGGGCGGGTACGGCGAGCGTTGGCGAGTGGGGCAGGCCGGAGGGAAAGGAAGCGTTCCGAGCCGCGGAGGGAACCGGCGTCCGCCAGTTTGGCTTCACAGTGGGCGGGGCCCGGGCCGCGGTCGCCTGGGAAAGCTGCTGCTGGGGCGGCGAAGGGCTCGGGTGGGAGCGCCCGGGGCCTTGTGGGCATGCGCAGAAGCCACGTTTCCCCTTCGGCCTTCCTGGTCTTTCTCAGGGCGGGGTGGGTGGGGACACTGGCAGTTCCCGGTAAACCCGACAGTGAGTGCAATCCGGGCAGTTCTGCCCGGAGCTGCCCGTGCAAGCTGCTGGCCGGGTTCTGCTGAATGACAAGCCTGGGTTCGGGGCCTCCGCGTTCCCACATGCCAGCCGCCACACCTCAGTGCGGTCACCCAGTTTGGCAACCTAGCTTTCCAAAGTTTACTTCGCTTGGTATTCAGGTAAAGTGAAAGCGTTAATGCTTGGCACATGGCACTCACGGACCACGCGTTTCTAAGGCAGCTTTATTTGAGATGCCGCGATTATCTTAAAAAGCAGTAAACGCAGTATAGTGTCCTCCATCCTGAGTCACATTCGTGTGTTCGTAACGTTGAATCACGTCCCGGTTGAGGCACTGAGGACATACAATCTAATGGAACGACCCTCACCTCAAGCTGAGTTTGTAAGGTATTGAGGCTCGCACAACTTCTAATTCCAATGTTATGTGCTTTTGGGAGCGCTTAGCAGGGGCTTTCTTTACCTCCCGCCTCCCTGGTCTTCCTCTTCCCCGCCCCCACTTCCGTCTAGTCCAAGAGTAGACAGTCTAGTTCGAGTAGGCTGCTAGGAACTGTGTCTCCTGCATCTCCTATGGGAGTATTTGGAGACCGAGTCCAGAATCTTTTGTAAGTTCTTCTTGGGGACAAACCCTTCTAATCAACCATCTGTCAAAAAGTGCCTCTAAGCAAAGTAGTACCAATGAGAATTAAGAAACAACAGATTTAGTTTGCACTGTGGGTACTGATGCAAGACTGGTTAGTATCAATCAAGTTTGGCTTCAGCAAACTTAGCTAAACAAACTAAGCAAGCCCTAAGCGATCCTTCCCCTGGACTAAAAGCGGAGACCATCTCATAAGGCCTTAAGACACGGTAGTATAAAACTTCCCACCCATTTCCAATGTTGCTTGTATTTTATTTCATGTATATGGGTGTTTTGCCTGCGTGTATGGTGCTTCACATGCACGCATGGTGCCCACAAAATCCTGTGGGTGCTGGGAGCCAAATCCTTCTTCTGCAAGAGCAGCCAAGGCTGTTACTGAGCTCTCTCCCCTGCGGGTTTGTTATATTTTCATGTGCGGTATTTGCAAGAACATTGAGGAAGCTCCAGGCCATTTTCCCTAGTGATACTGCCCCCCCCCCAGGAACTTGAAATAAATGAAAAATTACTGTGCGAGAGTGGGAAAATAATTAAAACTATAACAGCAACAGCTTTCAATTACTAAGAATGTGCTATGTGTCAGTTATTTCTTTGATTCTCAAAAAAAATCCTGTGGTAGGTGTAATTTTTTTAATAAATGAATTGTAGACAGATTAAGCATTTTAGTAATGCCACAAAGCACTCATTTTAATATAGGTATTTTTCTTACTAATCTTTCATATTAGCAATAGGATACAGAATAAGAACTCCATTTCATGTTGCTAGTGTGAAAATTTGGCAGATCTGTCCCCAAAACTTTTTTAGCCAATGTTTCACAAGTGTGTATACACACAACTATAACAACAAAATATGTATTTCCCATTATAATGCTTAGCTTATATAAAGCACACAAATATAAATTGTATTTCTCTTAAAATATTACATTTAGTATTATGTGAGAGGCTCTGAACTGCGGTTTGTGCTTATGGGCCAGTGTTTCTATTGATACCGAATATCCTAATTTTCAGCAGAAAAACCAGCTTCCTTTCTGTCAGCCTTCACAACTCAGGTTAATTTCATGTCATATCGTCCCCTCTCACTGTCATTCGATGTAGCAACTGCCATGTGCTCACCATCGTAGTAGTCAGTGGTGATTTTAAATGCGCTTGAGATTTCCTAATAGAATGTTTCTGTCCACTTCGATTTGGGGTTTTGCAATTCTGCAAGTCACAGAAGAAGAGGGATGCGGAGAAAGGCTCAGTGGTCACGTGCTGCCACCTGTTGGCAGTGTACTCTATCTGCAATTGCGGCCTTGTGTTTGCTGGGATTGCACATGGCCATGACGTGAAAGAGCTATAATACTTCTACTTTCAGTTGCATTGAAAGATACTTGGAGGCTGGGTGGTGGGGGCACACACCTTTAAATCCTAGCACTTGGGAGGCCGAGGCAGGTGGATTTCAGTGAGTTTGAGGTCAGCCTGGTATACAAAGTGAGTCCCAGGACAGCCAGGACAGTAACACAGAGAAACCCTGTCTTGAAAAAAAAAAGTCAGATGTGGTGGTGTGCATGTGTGATCTCAGTGTAGGGAGGCAGAGGCGGGAGGGCACTGGGACTTGCTGGTCAGCCCATCTGGGTGAATCAGTGAGACCAATTTCAGTGAGAGACCTTGATTCAAAAACTAAGTTAGAGAATGAGAAAAGACACTGAGGTCACCCATTAGCCTCTCTATATACATGAATGGGCATGTGTATTTGCACACACACACACACACACACACACACACACACACACACAAAGAGAAAAACCTCAAATACCTCAAATTCTAACCTACAATCTGGACTATAGGAGGAATGGTGTTACTATGGATATCTTTGACAGTTAAGATATCTTGTCTACTGTTTACCTAGAAAATTCTAAAAGCAGTTACTTTTCAAACATGCCTTTGACACATGCAACAGAGCATAGCTAAATAGACTTTTATATTGTCTAATGGGTGAGAGATGTTTCTAAAATGCACATTAGTCTTTAAATTTTAAGTAGTATATTTCCAATTTAAAGAGAAAGGTTTATTTAACAGTATTCTGTCTTATTTACTAAGTCTAGTATTCAAGAATTTTTCCTGTCCCACAATTAAAGCCTCCTAGACACTACTTTGTACATAGATTTTTTTTTATATATATATAGAAAAGGTCTCGATCCCTGTCAGGACTAGCTTGAAGGTCTTATCCACTGTGACCTGCCCGTTCTCTAAGACCACTATCTAGCAATTGCTATCAGCATTTACCGGTCATTGATTCTTCCTTTATTCCCTGTCAAGTTACTGTTTACTTCTCAGACTGCTGTCTTTACAGATCAAACACAAACTCCCCCTCACTAACTTCCCGCATTGCATGTATGTTTCTAATAGGTTACGTCTATCAGCAGCAACCCCGCTAAAGCACATTCTAAACACCTTCAACCTCTGCTTTGCACTTTGATTTTAAGACACAAGAATGCTTAACAGACTTCTTTTGAGACTTGCTGTGGTAGCCCAGGCTGCTTTTGAACTACCCTTCTCCTGGGGTGCTGGGACCACATTTCCCAGCTATCTTTATCTCATAGGAGGAAAAACAAATGAAGTGCAGAGAGTTTTTGTTTTGTTTTGTTTCACTTTGACACATTTGTTCAACATGCTTCAGGATAAATAATTTTGAAAGAATCATGTATACATTTTAAAAAGTCCTTAGTTTTTTTTAACCTAAGAAATCCATGTGTTTTTATTTTTGAAAAGCTTTCTGTTTAGCATTTGGCTAGTCAGGCCGACCATGAGGTGATACCCATCGTGCCAGATCAGGTGCAATTTAGGAAAGAATTTCTTCTCTGGATTTCAGTTTTCCACATAGATAGCAGGGAAGAGGTTATCAAGTATATCATCTCTAAGTTTTCTTCTCATGCTGACATCCTGTGATGGAAATTAAAATTCACCAAAATGTCACAAACACGAGGAATAATCATTTAAAATAAATTTCTGCAGAGTTCTTCATGGTGCCTTTAGTGGTCATGGCTCCCAAAATATTATAAACAAGATATTATATAACTTCAGAGTGCAGGCCAATTATTTTTGATCCTTGATTTTAATAACCCAGGAAAGACCAGTATCCACTTGATTTTTCTGAAGCTTTTTTCTTTAAACAATGGCACTACTGATATTTGCACTGCAAGAATTCCTTCCTATAGGTGATAGCCTGTCCTTGTAGGATGTTTATCAACATCTCTGCTTGTTACCCACTAGATGCCAATGACACTGTGTCGTCCTCCCCCTCTTTGCCCCCCCCCCCGCAGTTTTACTTTGCAGATGACCCAGAAAGGGCCCTTATGCTATTGTTCTTGATTTTGGTCATAACTTAAGGAAAACTTTCTTACCATGCCCAGGGATCTTGAAATCCTGCAAACCAAGGAAGAGGAATCCTCAAAGCAGGGACCCACTTAGGTGGCACCTGCCGTGGGTTTCCAGACACATTAGCGGAAATCTACATCATAAATCAGAACAGGACCTGGGAGAAGCTGCTGCTGGGAGCTCAGACCATTGTTGCCATGGAGAACCCTGCTGATGTCAGGGTCCTCTCCTCTAGGAACACGGGCCAGTGAGCTTTACTGAAAATTACTGCTGCCAGCGGATCCATCCCCATTGCTGGTTGCTTCATTCCTAGGCCCTTCGTCAATCTGTTTCAAGCCACTTTGCAGGAGCCACGACTGGTGTCATGACTGATCAGCAACCCTCACAGAGATATCTCATGTACAGAGAGTCTCCTCTGCAGTGTGAACATGGCCATGTCATGCGGCTGGAGAGCTCCCGCCGATGATGTGAGGAGAGCTCCCGCCAATGATGCGAGGGTTTGAATGATAGCTGACCTAAAGTGA